ATTTGTGTGGATGAAAGTAAAACACTGCAAGCAGGCATTAATAGCTACAGTTCCTTCAGAGGCCATTCTGAACTACTAACAGAGAGGATTAAGAATCAGTTTTAAATTTTGGAACTGGCTGGCTGCCAAATTTAAGTTTATTCTTGCCAATGATCTCCAGTAAAAATATATTTCTTCTTCTGTTATGAATATTTTTGAGCTAACTTTTCTAAAAATATGATTCCAAGTTTTATTAGAATATTTTAATAATTATTTTGGAGGCTAAGACCTTTTACTAACATAAAGTATCCTGTTGAATAAATGTTTTGCAGTCAATAGAAAAGGACAATGCTCAGTATCTTTCAAATGTAGCTGCTGAGAACAGCAAAAAAATGTTTTAATAAACCCCTTTTCTCTGCCCCCTATGTTAATCTATTTTGTATTAAACAAAGGCATATACCTATCATTTTTGTTGCTGAATACATTACCCTGTTCTTGCTTAAGCATGCTACTCTAGATTACAAATATATGGTTGTAAAAATAACTGGTTGGACTGATTAAAACTGCTGATTATAATCTCCAATTTGGCATGAGGAAATTTACTACAAAACCTGTTTAGGACTGCAGATGTATCTCTGTCCCACAACTGTAAGAAAAGGCTGGATTTCCAGTCTTCTAAGTGTACAGACCTCAGTGACTGACAGAAAGACTCATTCTTAGCACAAAGCTAAAATATGTAACTAAAAATATCTTCATTTCTTTCTGCCTTAATTTGAAGGCAAATGGTGATAAAATGAAAAATAAGAACAAAGCTGTGTGCCTATGCAATTAAAACATTCTTTCATATGTACATAGAAACCTGCCTTCATAGTCCCAAATATTTTTTTCCAGTCTCTTGGGCTTGGTGGAATTTTGCAGGACTGGGTGTGGTTAAGGGTTCCCAGTGTGTTGGATGACACTGGTTAGTTGTCATCCGGGCAGAGCCCGTAAGCTGGTGGGTAAGGCTGACTACACACACAGAGATATGATTAGAAGGGATGAAGCTGTGGGGAGTAGTTATGCACCTGCCTGAATTCCTGGCTCCTCAGTCATCCGTTTTTATCTTCCATTCCCACTGTTTTTATAACTCAGCCTTACCCACACAAAAGTACTTTATTTATATGTTTTACATACTTCTGTTTCTTTGGGTATTACAAGCACTAATTCCTGACCACTGGAACAAATATACTGCCTTCAAGAAGTCTCTCAGGTGTCAAAAGCATCAGCACATGTGTACTAAGCTAGTACTAGGCTTAGCCATTCTCAGGGGCAGATCGCAGGTCAGTGAGCACTAAAGAGCATGCAATTCTCACCTACATGCACCAGACCATTACCTGCATGTAAAAATTAGGTAGGAAGAAAACCAAGAACTATCCTCCAGTGGTGCCAAAGCAGTGGTACTTTAAATATTTTTGTATCTTGTGCGCATAGACATATGTGTGTGTACATTCAAGGTAGGATAAGGACTATAATACAAGGATAAATAAAAGTTGAAAAACCCCATAACTAATTGTATTGATGTTCTCAAATCTAAGATTTTTTTAAGGTTTACAATGATAGGGGTCTTAAATTCTGGGCCCTAACCTGACTGAGGAAATCATTCTTGATTTAAAAAAACAGATGTCTTGTGCAGCAAGAAGCCTGGACTGACTACAAACCCAAATAATGCAAAAAAAGGTGGCAAACAAATCCATACATTTTTAAACTTATCAGTCTGTATGTAAGAGCTAATATACCAGGGACAGAACAAAGGGCAAAGGGAGGTAAGCATATGGTGTTAACTTGTTCTTCCCAGTACTTGAGAGTTAGCTATATTTAAATTCACATGTGCTAATGCTTTCTTCCAGATCTGTGTACAGAAGGAAAAAAAGAACAAGGCTTTTCTTGGCTGTCTCAATATCATATTCTTTCTGAGCATCACGACCTAGACATCAATAATCAGAGTTCTATATTACTGTCTCCACAGAACTCAACTTCCACTTAAACTGAAGGAGGCTTGTCTTAGGCTCTTTGTATTTCTTCAGCTGGACTAGCTCAGTCTGACTCCACCTTTATTGTTTCCTTAGGCTAGAAGGGAAAGGAAACTCTTTGATCTCTTGTAAGAATAAATGATTTTCCATCTTTTGCTACTGGCTGTATCAAGCTCAAAGAAAGTCTTCTAAGCAATATTCAGTTTCTGGAATGGCCTGAAAAGATTAAATTCTCTAGAATCTAAAAGATTAGATTCTCTGTGCTCTCTGACAGAATATGACTACTAAATCCCAGTACCACTACTGCAATAAGAATGAAGTTCATTACAGCCTAAGCTCTCTCCTTAAATTCTTAACTTTCTTACTGTTTTTAACAGTAAGAATCCACCTATCAGCTAGTTGGCTCTCAAGTGAATAACTTTATTTCAATATGAACACAGCACCCATTTCAACATCTGACTAGATTTTCAGATGTGTTTTTTTTCTGACTGATATAAGGATGGGAAGTGCAATCAAGTCTATACTATTCTACTTGATCCCTTTCTGGTTCTGAAAGAGCTCTGATACTATAAAAACATATGTTATAAGTATTGAAGCAGAATAGGTATAAACAAAGGAGAAGATTCAGATTTAATTATCACATCTAACACATAAGAGATTGCACTGTTGCAATTGATACTGTTGGCTTAGTACTTAATTCTTGGTAGTGAAAAACAATATACAGGATACCTTCACTGTCCTTTAAAAATTTTCATTTTGAAGATACTAACACTTTAATTAGAAATTAAGTGCAGACACCATAAGATTGCAGCAGACATAAAATACTTCTTTTTTCCTAGAAAAAGCTTGAATAATAAATTTACCACATCTACAGAAAATTAGAAGTACTGAAGGAAATCATAATAAAAATGCCATTCTTCAAAGTATAGTTTTCCCGGAAACGTGTTTGAGATGCTGGCTAGTACCAAGAGGTTTCAAGTCTTGCAAACTAAACAACACCTATCAGCTACTGTCATTATATGGAAGGTTTGCAGGTGCTAGGTTGTAGAATATGCCTGAATTATTGCTCGTATTTCTCATTTCCTTCTCCAGAAATGCTTCCCCTTCCAGCAGAGGAAAACAGTCAAGAGGGAGAATAATGCCATCAACAACTGATACCAGAAGAAGATTTGAAAGGACTCCTATGTACAAGATACTAGCTACAGTAGGAGCAATAAGCCCATAAGGCAAACATTTTTATTCTCAACTGTTTGGGACACTAAACCCAAAGGTGTCTGGGTGGGCAGATACCTGGGCAAATAATTCTCAGCCCACCTCTTCTTGAGCTGAATTCCACATTGCATTTGTGGTGCTACTTAGGCAAACCTGATGTGTAAAAAGTTATTCAGCAACAGTATGAAAATGAGTCCCATAAAAGTTTAGAGGAAAACTTCCGCATTTCCAGCTAGATCCCTATTCAGGGTTCTGTCTGGAAAGGTTCCATGGGACATGGCCCTGATGAGGAGTGTCCAGGAGAGCTGGCTGATTTTCAAGGATAGTCCAAGCTCACATGGGTGAGGAAATTAAGCAAAGGTGGGAGGATGTCTGCATGCATGAAAAAGGAACTCCTGACAAAAATCAGCATGCAAAAAGGAACCCACCTGGAGAACTGAATCCAGCTCTGTGGTCCTCAGCACAGGAAAGAGGTGGACCTGTTGGAATGGGTCTAGAGGAGGGACACAAAAATGATCACAGGGATAGAACAGCTCTTTTATGAGGAAAGACTGAGCAAGTTGGGGCTATTCAGTCTGGAGAAGAGAAGGTTCCACAGAGACCTTATAGATCTTTCCTTAAGGAAGATGGGGACAAATTTGTTCCCTCGTTTTTCCAATTCTAGAGGGGAGCAGCCACTCTTGGTAATAAAAACTAATATGGGGAAAAAAATAGAAAATGTTCTTCTCTATTCCTGTAAAGCGAGTGTCAGGTGGGTCCTTAACTTCAGCCTAAACTTCTGGAATTCTTGACCCTACAGCTATACAGTCAATAGTGGATCTGTCCCAGCAAATATGCACTAAATATGAAGGTTGTTTAACTACAACATTTCCTTAATATGCCCACTCCTCAGCTGTTATCATTTTACAATGCTAGGCATATAGAATCTGACAGGCTGTATCTTGTACAGATATCAAAATAAGGAAGCACAGTGAATTATTCTATCATGCATACTAATGACAGAAATATCTCCACACTATACAAAGATTAAATTATTACCTTTCACTTGTTTGTACAATGTTTTTCCCCTTTGTCTGAATTTGTGGTCTAAACTTCCGCTCTACTTTGGAAGGAATTTCTTCTCTGTAGAGCTGCATCTACATCTGACACTAACCTTTAACTCAGCTCTCAGCTTGGTGATTACATTATGTCTGAAGCACAAACTAGTGATGGAGATGAGAATAACCCCATAAAATCCCTCCCTTTCAAACCAGAGCAGGCATTAGGACCACAAAATGTTTTGAAACAGTTTTGAAGGATTTCATTCAGCATTCTTGAAATGTGATCCACTCTCTGCCTTGTACTGTACCTCAAGCCTGCTTTTCCAGGAAATCTTCAAGTTGGCTAGGGATGTGTGAAAAATTCATACATAAAAGACTGATCTTAAAAACCCGCTACAGGAGCAACAAAACCTCTAATTAAACTAGTTTCTATTCTTAACTTGCTAGGGCAGATTCAGATACTACCTGATGGGGTCACCATATAAATACTTGAATAGAGGATCCCCATATCTCTTTCTGAACTGAATACTGCCTTTATGGAAAAACATACAAAACTGAAAATACTAGAGAACAGGCACAAAAACCTGTTGACTCTCACAGCACATAAGCACTTGAAAATGGATTCAGTCTGCTCCACCTAGACACTGATAAAAATAAGCTGGTTCCTGAGCTAGTCCTCCTTCAGGCAAAATAGTCTCTATCATGCATCTTGGAAATGAAGGGGTTATCTCCTCATGTACTAGTGGTAATAGAAAAAATGTAATATTGACTGGTCTGGAGGGCTTTTATTTTTTCTTTATCAGTTGTTAAACACTGAATAAAGTATACCAATGTGTAAAGGTAAGTACAAAAGTCAGTATGAAAAAGTAATCCTTTAGATTTAACTCTAACAGTAACAAAAAACCACAGAGAACAGTGGAAATTTATTTCTGAAGACCTTGCTCTAACAGAACTGTACCAAAAATCCAGTCGTGATAAATCCAACAATATCCAATTCTGTAGATAAAGTCTGTGAATGCAGTGCCTGAATGTCGATTTTATATCAGCACATAATTTAAATTCAGCCTTCATCGTCACTGCTGCTCCATGCATCTTCGTATGCTGGATTTAAATGTTGTTGAGGCAGAGACTAAAGAAAGTATAAATTATCAGTGTTTTTCTTAACTAAAAATACTAAAATCTTAAAAGCACAAAGCTAAAGGCATTTTTTAAAATTACTCTATGTAGACAAGTTATTCTGTCTCTCATGAGTACTGGATTATTTTTAACTACCTCTTTGGTCATTCTGCTGATTAGGGACATGATAAATTATGAAAAGAAATAGTCCTCTATTTAATTGCAATTTTAACAAAAAATATCTGGAGGACTGACTGGAATTATTACAAATGTTTGGTATAAAACATAAACAAATGGATATTACTATGTTTATTGTGTGCCATTGTTTTAATTTAGGTCTTCATTTCCTCGGCCCAGCATAACTGAGCTAATGTTATGGTTTCAGGAAGCAGTCCTGGCCTTTATCCACATCCAAGATCTATTTCTCACATCAGCCCCACTAGGGTCCAAATAAACAGTTTGTGCAGCTATGCAGTGCACTGAATCACAATGACTTAGGGTAATTTTTTTTTATTTACTTCTATTCTGGGTTCAGATTTTGGTTATGCAAGCACTCAAGGGAATGTTTTAACACATGAGAGCAAGCAGGATCAGTTGACAGCAGAACTACCTCTTACAGAGGCAGTGCTCATCTACAACATTTGCAAATAGCAGCTGTAGCTTAACAGATTTCAAAACAATGGCACATATTACATACTGCCACCATGTCAAATTTAAATGAGCAGTTCTAATCAGAGCTAGGTAAATAATCTTGTTGCTGTGGGTTTGTTTTTATTTTTCAGACTAAGAAAAATACAGTTTACTCACATATAAATTCTCACTTAGAGTAAAAATGGTAATTTCAGGTCAAAGGAACACATTTTGGGTTCAGGCACCTAACCTTTGAAACTACCCTTTTTTTTCTTTGCTTAGGTGTAGGGTAGTTTTGAAATAAGTTGTCTTACAAAGCAAAGCAAATGTTACAACAAATTTATGCTTCTTATAATTTTCCCATCCAAAATGGAACAATGCAGAAATTTTAAAAGCGACATTTTTGTATGGTATGGGGCAAAACATTAATATATCCTCATTTTTCAACACTCGTAGAGTTTCCTAGACTCTGATTCTTGAATGGTTTCAGTTCCTTAAAATCTAGAATTTTTTCTGCTCAGACTGCTCACTGAATTTTTTATTGCCCAGCTTTAATACCGAGAGAGAAAGTACTCTCTTGGAAAACAGTGTTATACATGATCTTCCTGTAACAGACGTGGATATCTTGCCTCAGACATGAAAATAACCTCACTTAGAACGTACTTTATTATATTTCTGCATCAAAAATATTTAGGTATGAAGTGTGACATCCCTAATATGCTTAATGCACAATATATTCTTAAACAATTTAAAATACAATTGTTGGCACCTTTACAATTCCAAAATAGCACAAACTACAGAAAATAGTTTGGAAATAAAGGAAGCTAAAGCAGAAATTGAAGGACCCATAACCAAATTAACTACATTTAACTAAGCAGGAAGCTAGAAGTCTGCAAAAGACTTTACTAGACTATGAAAGAAAATGTTCTCTCAAAACTGTATAATAATTAAAAGATTGCACAGAAACAATAGGTGATTCTGCTTTTAATTAGGAATTGTTACAAATTTTGATGGTGAATCACATACCTCATATTTAAATTCCACACAACAAGCCATAAAAAAACCATAGTTAAAATTCCAAAATTCATTACCTTTTCAGAAATATCATCAAGAACTGGCTCTCGTGGAGCTGGTATCCATGCAAGGATATTGCAGTCTTTGCTACCACTATAAAGTTCCTTTAAAAAAACAAGCAAAAATTACTTTTATACAAATTTACAGAATAGTGATATAAGTACAACACTGGGGAGAAAAAAGAGATAGAAAATTTATTTAAAAATAAATTCAAGTAGTCAATTTTTAATTTATACTTTAGTTTTGATAAACAGTATTTTAAATAATATGCCAAAACAAAATTAATACATTTTTCTTTTCTTTCCCAGACTGCTCACCAAAGTAGCACAATCCACATTTAAATGAGCTTTATTGCTTTTAAATACATTTTTCTCCTTCCTTCTCTCACATCTCCTGAAAATACACCTATTTTAACAGTTATTAAACTTAAAAGATTATTTATGGAGAAGTAAAAAAAAAAAAAAAGGAAAAAAGGAAAATATATTTTTTTAATTAAAAAAGAGGAAAAAACTCAAAAGAATCTAGCAATACATGTTAGAAAAGTGCATATGTACAGAACAAAGAAGTATTAAATAAATGTAGTTTCAGTATGCCTAGGAAAGGAAAAAGCAAATAAAGTAGAATTTGAAGCCAGTATGCTGTTGGAAAGGCACAGATAAGAAAGACCAATTTATTATTTTTAATATAAATAACTCTATTTATTATAGTGATGACTAAAGCCTGAGATTCCATTGTACAAGGCACCCTACAAACACATGGAAGCAAACAGTCCCTACACCAAACAGGTGAAAGTCAAATATATCTTAGTTTTCTTAGTTCTGTATTAAGGAAATACAGACTATCACTTTAACCTGAGGAAATTTTGCTAATAAGAGATCCTGCACCATCTTTGCCATAAACTTTGCTCTAATAACACTTGTATTTTCCAAAGTGCTACTTAAATGAACAGACATAAAGATATTTTCATATGCCTTCAATCTTGAATCATCCTCTTGCATAGTATAGGCAATGTCTGAAAACATTTGAGTACTGCTGTGCATCTAAACTGTCTGAGTGAAGCATATAAAGTATTTTCTTTGGTATTTAGGCTAACAGTATGAAACTCTTGGTTCAAGTTGCTGGCTTTTACACTTAAACTAGCAACTCTCTGCATGTGGGCTCATTATTAATATGTTGATTCAACATAAGTTCAAAATATTGTAAGAGGTCTATCTTTGCAGAAGTCTCCTACATTATGTATAGTTAATTCTAAAACTGCATGAATTATGACGACATTTGGGGCAAAAACTTAATGCTCAATTCCTATAAATACTCATTTATGCGGGTAATCTCACTCAATAGAACTGACATACCCTCTTTTCTAAAACTGGTCCTATGCATAAAGTTCTTTATCATAAAACACATGCAAGCTTAGAGTTTACAGTTTTAAGACAGAGAACCATGCTGCTTAACTTGCTTAAAAGAAAATATGTTACACCAAGGTATAGGTCAAATTCTACTATAGGACAAAAATTCTATCAGCAGTACACTAGTCGGGCCCTCTGTCTTTGATAGAATAAAGAATATCACTAGAACTCTAAAAGATCTTTCCATGCCAAAATATTTCCTTGTGAGCAATGTCATAGCGACATCAGCATACTTCTATTTAATCCTTTTTACCCCTTGGCTCATTTTCTGATCCTGGTATGGCAAGATATTCCGTTAATATCCACTGCATTGAGCAATACTTACAATTAAATATTACAACCTGAAATGGTGACTCACACCTCAAGTCAATCAAAAGAAAAGCTAGTCACTTCCATGTAGGATTATGGTACAATACAGGAGAGTCACATATATTGCACTACAAACATGCTCCATGCATGTTTACAGTATATTATATAGAAAGACTGTAAATAAAACCTAATTTAACTTTCAGTTAACTTTACTTAATAGCTTACTACTGGATTTACCGAATACCTTTGCAGATGTCACTAGTGCTTCTTAAACAATATGAGAAGCTATAATTTAAAGCAAAATTACTTCCTGTTGCATACCTAATATTTTACGACATGTTATTCCTGCATGATGCTTTACTTGATTTCTTTTTCTGAAGGGAAATGTAGGTCTTGTTTGTTTACTTAAATTATTCTAAGCACATAATACGGCACAATAGTATCTAGCATATCACATTCAACAGCAAACATCATCTAAGATATTGCACAATGAAGATTCTCTTTCACACCACCCTTGAAATTACTGTCCTCCTATTAAATTAATGCCTCTTATTAGAGGGCCAAATTCTGCAGTTCTTATTACTCAAGCAGACTAACATCTTATTAACTTCACAGAGATATTTACGTAAGAATAGTTTAGGCAAACAATAATATAGTGGATTTTATAGTTCTGTTCCCAAGATCAGAAAAGGCTAAACTCACAGCATTCTGTGGAGAGAGCTCCATACCGTATCTCAAACATAAAAAGTATTACATAAACATGCTAATTAATTTGGATAAGAACAGATAAAGACTAGTATCATTAGACTGCAAATAGCTAGCTGCTTGGGTATCAGTGATCATATTTGATTATATGGTTCTGAGCAAACAGAAGACACTTCTCACCTCAAATACATAATTGGTGCAAAGTTTAAGTTCTTCTTAGAGCTTATTCTGGTTATGAGGTGAAACAAAGATAGCAATTAAAATACAGTTTATGAACAGAAAAAACATGAGGGACTGACAGCAACCAACATCAATAAGAAATTTTCAACACAGTAAAAAATGTAAGGAAAATCTAAGCACCAGATTTGATGATGGGTAGGACAAAAATCAGTCAGACAGTAGAAAAAGTTCAGAAGACTGTTAAAACGAAGAACACTCTGAACAGTGACAGAGACTCAATACTAGATGGAAATGGTCAAAACTGCATAAAAAATGTAGAATTTCCTTCATATGAAGATAGTGCACTTATGTCAAACTGCTAATAAGTAAAAAAAACGTTAGAAAACCATCTGCTACACTTTTCAGCAGCAAATGCATATCTTACACCAGAGACTTAGAAGAATCATCAATGAAAATTTATGGCTTGCTTAAGTTAATTATGTTTTGACGTGTATTTACAAATTACAAAGGTGAAAGTGACCTAATATGCCAGTCAAGAAAAAACAAAACAAACAAACAAAAAAAAGCAGAATGATACAGATACAAATGAATTGACATTTCTTTAGTCCTAAACAAGACAACAGAATAGGTGATTAAATGATGCAGTTACTGTAGAGTTAAAATACAGGAATATAAACACCAGCCAATACAGTTTATAACAAAGCAGGTTTTGTCAAGCAAAACTAGTAACAAACTAGAAATGTACAGCTGTGAATAACTTTGCAGCATGCTGATTTAATATTGCTTGAGAGAGTAAAATAAAAAAGTGCCTAAAATATAGGTACCTCAGAAAAATAATTTAACCTGCAAAATCATAATTTCTGTTGGAATCATATGAAGACAGATGAATGTACTTAATTGTCTCAAGACAGAATGAGCTATTTGGAAGTACATGTGTGAACACAGACAAAATAACAGTATCACTACCTTTGGTGTTGATACACTGACTTATAACAATGTTACTCCATCAGAGTAACTATTTAATACAACTGAAAGCAGAGCATTTACAGAAAAATAAAATCCAGTCACACTTCTAGAATGTAGAACTGAACTCTGGAAAAGGGTGATTCTGAAAGAAAATTAGGAATCACAACAGATAAATAAATGAAGTTGTTAACATCCATAAACCTACAGATATAGTGACAGATGAATTTTTTGTGTGCATACACACACACACACGAGTGATCCTTTACTATGGATCTTTGAAGCCAAGGTAGAGACACCACATGTAAAACAAGTAAAAAATGTTTCACAGTGAGATTTAATTAGCCTTAGCTCTTCAGTTTATCAAAAAGAATACCAAAGATGACTTTATATAAACGTACTAGAACTTCTGTTGGGAACCTATTCTTGGAAACACAAAGGGCTTTTCAAGAACAGTCTGGAAAAAATCTACTTTAGCTACAATGTGAATATTCCAGCTTTCAGTGGATGTAGAATTGCACTGCCTATTCATACCAGAACTGCCTTCCAGGCCTAATAAGGGTTATTAGCTCGCAATCTGTTGCGTATTCATAACTTTCAGTGAAGTCTGTCTCAGTGATACAGCAACGTTCAGTCAAAGTTATTTCACTCAAAGCAGAAGTTACCAGATTCACTTCTATGGTGCATTGTATGAGAGGTCACAAAAAGGTATCTGCAGGCCCTTTCTCCCTCAGATATTTCTGCCTGATATTCAGAAACAAAAGGCAAGGAAGGAGGAGGTAGAACATGAAGTACAATCCTTAACATGTGAGGGCAACTATGTAATGGCCTGAAAATCCATACTAACATCCACTCTGCTCTTGCCACAACACACACCACATGAACAATCTGTTCTAAAGTATGTCACAACAAATTAAGCTTTTTTATCCTTAAGTCTTTTGCTGCAAGGGAAAAATATACCATAGGTGGAAAAGAAAAGAAAAAGAAAGAAGGCTGCCAAGCACTATGAGTTCCTGTAATGCTAAGGTATTTCTCAGGTGAAATGTTCTCAGATTAATTTAAGAATATCATCGTGTTCTCAACACTTTATCCAAAGTATAACTACAGGCATTTGAGCAAGAACTTTAGAGCCTTCTCAGTACTGACAGCAATACTAATGCATTTCACATCCTTTCTTACTGTGATTAGTCTTAGGTATCTCTGAGAAAGACAAATACCTCCTCTTCAGTCTTACAGAAAACAGGCAAAAGTCTTTATGCATATTTATTAGTGAGTATGTATGCCAAAAAATTACTAGAAGTATATTGAGAAGTTACATATGTGAGACAAACTGAATAGTGGAAGGAAGCTAAACCAGAAAAGTCCATCCCAAGAATTTCACCAAACTTTTCTTGCATGATATGCAAGCCACAGAACTCTCTCTTATGTCATGATCTTTGATTGAAGCACATCCCTGAAAAGTTAATGCTTTTATAGTGCAAATTGTAAAGCAGTCTGCATAAATATTGCAGTTTGTCTGGAATACTGGTCTTATTTTACTTACCTGAAAATGAGGTTGAAATACACAGCAGTTGACAGTACTATAATGCCCTCTAAGCACAGTTATCAATTCTCCTGTGAAAATTGTATAAACAGCAATGGTACTTCCATATGGTACAAAGGCAAACTCTGGATTACAGCCACAAGAGATGGCAAATTTGAGTCCTTTCCAACTTTCATTACAGACTTTCCCATAGTTCACCTGTAAAATGAAGGATTACACAGTTAGCTAATAAGTAAAACCACAGGAAATTATATTAAAACGTCAATTTTATTTCATCCTTAATACTCAATAAAATTAATTTTGAGTTATGTTTGTATAACTCCTCATATTTCACATTACAGATGTCTATCAAGAGAATCATTTTTGTGTTCATTCAAGATCACTCTTGTTAATATCAACTTTAAGAAAAGGAAAGAAAGTTATGTCTAAAAATCAGCAGTTCCACACTAAGAAATAGAATTTGCACAGGCTGTTCCATGCCAGATCTACATCGAACACCTAAACTCTCACTGAAATTAGACATGGTTGAGGAACTACCACCTATCATGGTTTAGGAATGGTATTCTCCAATTTAGCAGTCCTGCTAAAACCATGCCACAGCTCACTCCCCCTCACCTGCCTCCAATTGAAAGCACAAGGGGCAGAGATCACGGGTTGAGATAAGAACAATTTACTGGAAACAGCAATAAGAAAACAAACTGTAACAGTAACAATATTAATAACACAAGGTATAGGACAAGGAAACAATTTACACATAAAATAAAACAATACTGGACCGTTTCACCCACCACAGTCTCTCCCCCAGAAGGAACACCCTCCTCAGAAGAGAGAGAGTAAGCCCCCTTCCCCTGCCTCTGCCAGTTATGTGGGGTGGTATTGAATAACATTGGGGTGTTGGTCACGCCTCCTCCTGATGATCTGTGCTGAAGCCAGGACTTTATCCACCCCTTGTTCTATACCACCGATGATTCTATATATGCCCGGATGCTATACCTTCCCACCATATACATATACATTTTTATATAAATACACACAACCACAGGTATCATTTCTCTAGTCAATGGCCATCCTTCCAAGATGTCTGTTGAGTTCATTTAGACCACGACTATGAGTTCCATCCATCCTAGAGGTCTTCCAGGGCAGGAAGGCTGGTGTGCTGTCAACTGGTGGCAAGCTGCATCAGAAGCTCACGACTGGGGTATCTGGAGTAACCTCATCACTGTCTATAACTACCTGAAGGGAAGTTCTAGCCAGGTGGGGGTTGGTCTCTTCTCTCAGGTCTCTTCTCTCAGGCACTCAGCAATAGGACAAGGGGGCACGGGCTTAAGCTCCGCCAGGGGAAATTTAAGTTGGATATCAGGAGAAAATTCTTTACAGAGAGAGTAATCAGGCATTAGAATGGGCTGCCCAGAGAGGTGGTGGATTCACCATCCCCGGAGATTTTTAAACGCAGATTGGACGTGGCACTGAGTGCCACGATCTAGTAAATGGACTGGATTTGGACCAAGGGTTGGACTTGATGATCTCAGAGGTCTTTTCCAACCCAAACGATTCTATGATTCTATGATTCTATATTCATTGTCCATGGCATTTATGGCATATAGTGGCAGTATAATTCAGCAAAAAATTCCAGCTTGGTTTTTTTAGAACAAGTAAACCTATGACACAAGTAAAAACATAAATGAAGTTCCTTGAAAACTTACTAATGTGTTTTCTCCAGTGGAGCTGTTCCAGAGTCTCATCCGATCATCTGTACCAATGGTTAACAGATGAAGTCCATCACTGGTATAGCATAAACCATTAACTCTCCCATTGTGAGCAGTATTTGCTGTCAGGAAAAAGAGCTGGTTCAGGTTTCTAGAGAAGAATTACTGCTTTGTATACATTTTTAGTTCAACGCAGAGCACTGGAAGTGCTGTTTAAATGGTAACATTCAGTAAATTAATAACTTAACTTCTGGTTTATAAAAACATCTGGCTGGCCAACAGCCACCAGTAGTGTTCCTCAGGGTGCAATTCAAGGGCCAGTTCTGTTCAATCTGTCATCGAGTGGTTGATGCTCTCAACCTGTCACTGTTTAAGAAGCATTTGGACAATGCCCTTAACAACATGCTGTAGCTTTTGGTCAGCCCTAAAGTGGTCAGGCAGCTGATGATCATCGTAGGTCCTTTCCAACTGAATATCCTATTCTATATTGTTCATGGAGTACTAGAAATTAATTTCGTTGAGTTTACCCTGCAGTACTGCACATTAAGTATGCTAAAATCCAACTCTGTGCTACCACAGCAAATCTAAATATGGCGTCCATGAACTAACTCACTGAAAAACAGACAAAGTATCTCTACATTGTACTACACTACCTAATTTAGACATACCTCTTAGGTAAAAGTGTTATCAGCTTTAAAATTTTTTTAAAAAATCCTATTAGCTTCATTTGGTTTAGTTCATATATATTTTAATAAATCAGACATCCTAGTCTATGTGATTAATATTAGATTGCCAAAAAATCATCTTGAACCTGTCAGACAGAAATAAAGTTGAAAAGAAAGATGTTGTGTTTGAAAAGTCAACACATTATTCAAAGGAATGTATAAAATGGCACTAATTATCTTTGGAGTTACAAAGAATTTTGGTTTTTGTTAAGTAAAATTTGTTCTTTTTTGACAAAGTCTTAGCTTTCTTTAGACCATTTTCATCTCAGTAATTTCTTGAATTTCAATGAAATTTAAAATAGTCAAAACCAAACATCTATATTACCATGCTACAAATGACATAATAGAGAGAGTGGCTATTAAAACAGATACTCACTGCTATTTCATATCCTCTAACCACACATTTTGGAAAATTAGTTTGACTTTACAGACATTTTCATGAATTTTTCTACATGCAATTTAAATTGCACACAATAAGTCAGACTGAGTGGTAGGTTTCATCACTGATTTATGCTACACAAATCCCTTTGTCCAGAGGTATAATACAGAGTTTCTCCATTGTGTTCAATTCCAAATACTATGTATTTCTGTCTCAGAATAGCAACTGTTTAAGTACTTTTTTGGACTGCAAAATGAAATTTATTTTGTCCGGAACTGGCCACAATTCATGAGGTTTGGGGGTTTTTTCCAGTTTCAGAAATGTGACTTAAAAATACATAAAAATGTTAATGCTGTAGTCAATTACAGTTAATACAAGGCATTATGATGCATTTGATTGTACTAAGATTTAATTCAACCTCCTGTACAATGAAATACAATCATAACTTTACACTCTGTTGTAGGCTTTGGGTATAAAAGGAATAGAACTGATTTTATGACACCACATATGAGAACATATTCTAAAGGCTTGTATAGGAAGCAAGATTAATTTAAACAGGAAAAGGAATGCACTTTTGTGGGTTTGTTTGTCTTCTCTTTGTTTTCAAAAGAAGATAACTACCGTAACAGCTTATGAAGTATGAAGTGATTGTTGTTTATATAAAACCTAATCTACCGTATGAATTCTTTCACCGACAATACAGATAACAAAATTTCCCATTTTAGGGGGGAAACCATTTAGAACAGATATACCACTACTGTCAAGGAGATCCCTCCAAAAAAGATCCCTACCACAAACACTGTCTCTATAACAGAAATAACTGAAGGGCCTGTGTTATGTAGTAGGTAACAAATGGATTACCACTGCTCACTTCACTAGTCTTAGTATTCAATATATTTATGAAATATAAGAATGATTCTAGTTACATATGCATTGCCACTAGTTATATTCTGTATTACCTGCCTCAGAAGACGCCTTGGACTTTTCCCCATTGTGCTGATCAAGTGTACTCAGACACCCAGAAGCTCTCCTCACATCCCACAGTTTTACTCTACCATCAGCACTAAGAAAAATAGATTTGCAAACATAACATTAATTAAGTGCACCCTTCTTCAGCAACTGTCTTCCATCAACCCACCTAGTCCAGCAACTATTCTGAACCACTCATCATGTGGGCATATTCAAGTCAACAGAATTTCATTAAAATTTTTTAAGGCAGATTTCAGACATTCATTTACATGTATGAATAAGTATAGCTGTTACACAATCAGCACCTAAGAGTGAATCTTCATCTGTAATACAATACATTTGCCTCTTTGTCTACAACATAACACCCTTGCACACATACACAGACGAGGAATAAACTTGCTAATTCTTCTGTTGATTAAACTGCAGCTACAGACTCCAGCATTATTTGTAATGGTTGTCTGACAACTCGGGGCTCCTGCTATCATAGATCTATCATGCGACTGGTACAGAAGCTGTCTACAAGCAAACAATTTTTCATCTGCTAAAACAAAACAACCAACCAATCAAAAACCCCAAAGCCACCACGCTATCACACTCTGTTAAAACATTTTCCAACTTTGTTGAGCCTTGCAGAAGCCTGGCTTTAGAAACAAAAGGTTTGCAACAATGGTACCAACTTATCCAAATTTCACTCTAAACTTATAAAACAGCCATTTCTCTCTGCAATTCAAAAGAAAAAAACATGGCAACTAAAAAAATGAGAAATGTCACATTATAATCAAAAGATAACATACACAAAAGCTATAGGAAGGTCAGAGGATTTTTCACATTAAAAATAAAATTTTTAATGGACAGAAAATAAAAAAGGTCCAGGAGTATCAACATATAATCCATATTCAATGAATTACTGCAGCTTGGAAAGTTACTACCCATCAGCTAAGCTACCTGAGTTATGCTCTTTGACATGATTGAGTATGATTAACCAGGATTTTAATTTAAGCTAAACATATTTTACTTTGTTATAGGACAGATTAGCAACACACACACTACTAAATAGTAAGAAGTAAGTATCTCAATAATGTTCTATCATTTTCCTGTACCTGTAAATACAATTAGTGTTTCAAAATTCTGTACAAACTTCCTATAAAATAAGCATCACTGGTACAGCTCTTCAGGTTTTGTTTTTCTATGGAAAAGCTACATAGGTAAAAGTCAGTGATGAAGATTAACTCCAAAAGTGCATTAGAATTCTAAAAAATGTTCATAAACATATAAAATTTTACTGACAAAAATTTCAGTGCTTTCAAGAGTTCAGCAACATCCCTACCTTCCTGTTGCCAAAACATATTCGTGACGTGGGGACCAAGACACTGCCAATACTTCTTGCCTGTGACCTAAAAATTATATGAAAAAGGTTTTACATATCATTTTATGTAAATAAGTAAAAGTAAAAGCAAATATTTAGTTCTACAGGACACATCAAGTCAGAACAATAATCTGAAGTAACATAAATTTGAATTTTGTGAAACTATATAATTTTGTGATAGCAATTCTCTTTGCTCTTCTTGCTTGAAGAATGCAGTGAGCTGAAAGTGATATACCCGTGTATAACTTTTGATAATAAAGATGGTTTTACAGTTACAGCCACTGAGCTTACTTCTATTAACTTTTGAACAGCACTGGTGTTATCACACACAGAAGGAACTTTACATTTCTTTTTCTTCAAATCCTTTAAAAATGTTCAATAAAAGCTATATTTACCCTATGTACTTACATTTAAAACTTTACTCATCCTCAAATACTCTTCTCTTGAATTTATGGTCTGAAGTATTAAGATATCCATGAAGCTGGGGAAGGGTCTGGAGCACAGGTCTTATGAGGAGCAGCTGAGGGAGCTGGGGATGTTTATCCTGGAGAAAAGTAGGCTATGGGGATATATTATTGCTCCCTACAACTGCCTGAAAGGAGGTTGTAGTCAGGAGGGGGTCAGTCTCCCAAGTAACATGCAACAGGATGAGAGAAAGTGGCCCTATGTTGCACTACTGGAGGTTTAGATTGGATAATAAAATTACAGCAGAAGCAGGTTTCCCAAGGCAGTGGTTGAGTCATTAACCCAGGGATATGTAAAAGATGTGTAGATGTGGTACCTACGGAAATAATCTAGGGAGGGACTTGGCAGTGCTGAGTTAACGGTTGGACTCGATCTGAAAGGTCCTTTCCTATATATATATACATATATATATATATTCACATACACATACACTTCAAAATTTGGAAAGTTTTAAAAATGTTAAATAAATACAGACAACAGGAGGTGTAAATTGTCCTAAATGGAGAGACTGCAATCAGGCTTCATGTAGTAACAGAAACATGCTGTTGAAAAATAAACTAAATCATACAAATACATTTCTGCTAGTGCAGTTTAGAGCTATGTGAACCACCTTGCCCCTCCTACATCTTCTAGTAGGTGGATTTCCATTACCTAAATTAATCAAAGGGCTATGATGACCAGGATCATAGAAAAAATCTTCATGATACAGGTACTACAGGGTACACTTGGAAGGTTCAAGGCAGACACATTTACTTGGATCCATTATTACACTACAGCCATGCATTTTGCTCCATTTCAGCTGTTAGAGTTAGTCTACATGAAAATTCATACTTATCTTCAAGACACTACTGACTGCTTCAAGTTCTGTAAAGAATTATTAGGTTATGCTAACAGGAGGACATATTCTCCCTCCACTTATTTGTCCAATATTGCACTTGAGCTAAGTGTACCAGGCTGTGTACAATGACACAGAGCTTGTGCCTGGAAAGCACTAACTCTTGTGTTAAATTATGAAGCCCTGATGAAACCCAACTGAATGTCTAGAGAACTGTTTTCGTCGTTGCACTCTCTGGTGCTCTTGGTTCTAGAAACAGACCATGAGAAGCCTACTGTGGCCAATTCAGTTCATAAGAGCTTAATGGCTTAAGTTCTACATCACATGAAACCACCTAGGCTGATTTTAGACTTGAGCTGGCCAGTGAAGAAATAAAGCTGCATTTGCACATTGCTGTGTCTGAACTAATGTTTCTCTACAGCTTCTAGATCAGCTTCTAGATCAGATCTTACCCCGCTGGTTAGAAGCATGAAGATTTACCTCGTAATTGCCTTCACTTGAGCACTATGAGTGCTCATACATACTCATAGTCCAAAAAGTACACATTAGAGAAGAGACACCAAAGGCACATTCTTCTTAAGTGCCAAAAGTAAATGATTATGGAACAATAAACCCCTATATTTAACTGAATTAGGAATACGCAAAGGATTAGATATCATCCTTCTACAGAAAGCAGTATCTTGCCTATTCTAGAGAAACCAGAAACTTCTAAATAAAGTCATTCGAATGCCTCCATAGGATATATTTTTTAAAATAGTTGTTGGGGGTTTTGTGTGTGTGTGTGTGTTTAGGTGTGGGGTTTCTTTTTGTTATGACAGGGTGGGAGTTTCGGTTGTTTTAGTTGTTCTTTGAGTTTCTTGTAAACAGCCCCCCATAAACCCTCAAATCAATGAATACACTTAAACATGTAATAAATAATAATCACTACTGATTAGATCATGAAAATGCCCAAACATCTGTAGTAACTGCTCACTGATTAATATTTGTATTTTCCAACTTATTAGCACTAGAAAACACTCAGAAGAACCTTTTGCCGCTGTGTAACTTTCACAACTGGTTATAAATAAATTAGTCATGTTACTGACAAAGAATACATTGTATATAGTGTTTCTTTACAGGACTTGTTTTACTCAAAGTAGTTATTGTTTAACATTTATGTTTCAGACTAAGAAGTACCCTGCAGTATGTGAGAACTGGATCCAGACTTCAAGTCACAGAGCTGTACTTTGGGGCTTTTGGTACCCACTGTAACAAGAGAAACAAAGACAGTTAAAAAAAACCCCAGCATTTGAGAGAATAACAACAAAAAACTTAGCAATGGTAAATAGAAGAAAAATGCTAACTGCATAACAGTTCATTCAGTCAGAGTCAATGCATTCTATTAATAGATTTACATTTTTAGTCCAAGTAAATTTACCATGTAACAAAAAAAAATTAGAAACTGGAGGTAAACAGGGCAATATTTACAAAACTTAAAAATATCTCCTCAAATATTTTGTTGCTAAACATAGCTTACAGGCATACATGTAAGCAATATACATCTATTTACACAATTTACTATGTTTGGACCTAATAAACCTCAAATGCTAGTTTAGGTAATGAAAGGTAATCTAATTATAACTAAGAGTTTTTATCAGGTAGGACAATTGACTGATGCATTATTTCAGAAGAACAAATATGATATTCTCATTGACATCATGCAACGAATGGATACTATTTTATTTAACCAACGAACTTACATCTTATGAAGACTTAATTTATGTAAAAATAAGATAGGGTAGGTAAAAAAACCCTACTGAATACTACTTGCTTGTTACTATAAACCCAAAACATGTAAGACACTTCTTACAAACAAATACATACCTGCTATTAAACAATGCTGTGTAGCAACTGGAGACATGTGATGGCTATAGACTGTTCCCTCAAAGTAAAATATATCTGCAGGCTGATAATAAAAAGATTAAACTAATGACAGTGCAAGTATGTTATCAGAATGTAAATGCTCATCATTTTTCAAGTACAAATAAGCTACAAATAAGACTAATAAAAATACTACTATTTACATAGTAATAATAATTCTCCAAGTTGGAAAACAGATCATGCAAGCACCGCACAGCAAGTCTGTTTGCAAAACTAGGACAACACTAGAGCTCAGAGATGACCAAAAAGAAAGACCAAGAAAATTGGCTAATAAGAAGCATGAATGGAAAACATTACAATTATCAAAAATTAACAAAGTTAGCAAGCAAACAAGAAGGTAGGTTATAATGTAGCTTCAATTCCTAAAAAATTTACACCCTTATCATATAAAATTATTAGCTACCTTGTACGTGTTTAAAATAATGAAATATAATATTTACTTCAATAAACTTCAATGTTTACTTTAATAATTACAATTGCTTTCAGGTAAACTGCTTTTGTTGTCTCATTCTAAAATACTATATATGAAAAATCTCTTAAAACTTGTCTGTATTTTCAAAAATATCATTTGGTGGCAGAACAGGTCATTCAATAACCTTCATGTGAACACTGTCTTTTAAGGGATGCTCACAGAACTATCTGGAAAGTGAACTATTCATAAGAAGATTAAGCAACTGCTAAGGTAGCTTCACATCTCACAAAAAAAAACCCAAACAAACAAACAAAAAACCCAAAAGAGGTAAAAATTTGTTTTCTATGGTGTCCCTAGGATGACAAACCTCTTATTTTTTTTTAAATTCTTTCATTATGTGTGAAACAACAGTCAAACAGCATCAGTGTAAATTCATTAATACATTCACACAGGAAACAGGACAAACTGCAGTCATGAATCCATGGTTCAACAAGAGATGTGAGGCAAAGCAACATGAATTCCTACATAATCGGTTTACTTTAATAATGCCAGTTACATTGGTTAGCATTTTCTTAATGGTTTCTCTCATTCTCCAACAATTTCTAGAAATGCTGTCTATACTGCTTACAACAGCAGAATTCTGGACCTTATGGTCCTGAATGCCAAAACCACCAGTCCTTCAAAACCAGTATTTAGATGCCAGTTGCTAAAAATAACTCACCCTGCTGTACAGTGCTTACACTTAACTAACAATCCTCAAGAATGAACTTCAGACTACACCTTGGTGGGCAAGTTTACACAGCAAAATATCAACTAGCGGTATTCCTGATCACAACAAAATCAGAGAGGACTGTCCCACGGGTTCCAAGCTCTCTTACAGTTTAGACATTCAGATCTTCAGACAGGGAGAGGCACACACCAGGGTATACGTGAATGCCGGAATCATATCACCCTTCTGCTGCACCCACAGTTCTAACAATAAGCTGGTTTTCATCCTTCTGGATGCCTGCTCCTGTTCACCTCTGGGAAAACTGCAGATGTGGAATGAATAACACATACACAAAGAAGCTTGCAAGCTGCAGAAACTCTCTTACTTGTAAAGTGTTTGTATCCCATATTTTTAAGGTTTTATCAAATGAGCTGGATGTAAACATGCCAGTGTCACGAGGATACCACTGGACTGTCTCCACACTGAATTTATGTACATCAGGATGGCTCCTAAAATCAAAGAAAATATTCCAATTGGTTAGTCTTAATAAGCATCTTGTAATTGTCTTGGTATTCAATGACAAATAGAAAATATTGTTTAAATATGGGGTTTTTTTAATTTGTCCTGAAGTTTTCAAGAAGAACTAGGGTTTTCTTGGCTTGATTTTCAATCATCTAATATTAATTTCTTTGAAGAGTCCTGATTTCAAGAAACTACAGATCATTATCTTTTCAAAATATGGTATCTGTAGCATATCTCAAGTTAAGACACTCAGTTTGAAGCACAAAAGACACTAATGTCTTTTGAAATGTTTTAAATTGCAATGTTTACAGTTCTAATCTTAGACATGATAGCCTAACACTACAAATCATTTATACTTCTGGAAGCCCCCTGAGAAATGGATCCAAGAAATAGATCTACTAAAAAATACCACCACAAAGACAGTTCAAAAATTTCATTATTATTAGTAAATAATTACAGCTACATAGTTATTGGCAATTCATGTATGGTGAAATCACCAGAAAGCAGTAGACTAAGTTACTGAGAGTCATTTATACTTGCATTTAGAAGTGACAGAGGAAGAATAATAGGAAACTTTCAGCTAAACTATGGATAGTTACAGAATGCAATATAATTAATAATACATTAAATTTGGTAGGAAGAAAGGACAGTAGAGCAAATCTTGACAGCTCCAGGATACAGACTGAACTGACCAGGCTCTGAATAATATATGTAATTTCTACACCTGGCAGACCACTAATATCTGAGCTGTATTCACATGGATCCAGCTTCAGGGCCCGAAATCATGCTCCCAGACCCAGAATTACCATGTTGCTGTGTGTTAACCCTAGGCACCTACACACCACCACAGCTATTTGCTCACTCTACCCCTCTGCAATGAGATGAAGGAAAGCATCCAAATGGTGAAGGTGAGAAAAGCTGTGGATTGAGATAAACACATTTTAATACATAAAAGGAAACAAATCAAAATGAACTCCATCCCCCCAAAAAACCCAAAAAACCAAAAGACCCCAAAAAACCCCCAAACAAACAAGTGATGCAAGAACAATCCTTCATCGTAGGCTGACTAATGATCCTTCAAATCCTGAGCAATGGCAACCCAGGGCCCCCTCTTTTTCCCCCCCAGTTTTATTACTGCACATGACATAGTACAGTATGGAATATCAATATCTCTGGTCAAGTTGGGTCAGGTGTCTCAGCTGTGTTTCCTCACAGCCTACTGTCCACCCCCAGCCTCCTCACTGAAGGAGTAGAATGAAGAATGTTGAATGCCTTGACACTACCAAGCACTGTTCAGCACTAGCTGAACATCAGTATGTTATCAAGACTGGCCACAAGTCCGAAATACAGTACCATACAAACTACTATGAAGAAATGAACTCTATCCCAGCTAAACGCAGTATAACATGAGAAAATAGTTCAGCCAGCTCCAGCTGCAGCTAGTGAAGGGCTCACAAGATTTCCTCACTTCTGCTCTTATCTTTGCATTTTTCTCTCAAGTGTCCTGGCCTCCAAAGCAGTAACTATTGCAGGGGTATCATTGTGTAAACAGAGATGTGGATTTTTGGTATTGTGAAAAGATGGCTGGGATAAAATTAGAGGAATGTTATATTCACATCCTAACAGAAGTTATAATGATACATGAATTCTAGGGTGAAATGCAGTTGCTGCGTAGTATGGAATGAGGCAAGTAGGCCCAAAACTTATTCCAGGATGATTCCCATAAATGAAATCTACAACCTTAAGCACCTGCTAAGAGGGCTGAAACAGAGAGTGGAGCAGAGTGAAGACATCGTGAACAGCATCTGTTGAAATCCTTGAAGGCAGGGGAACTCGATGGTACTTTCTAGCTGATAAAATGCATTGCACCTGTCAACCAAGGGTCCTCCTGCTGAGTCAGCAACTGTGGTAAAATTGCTCTCCTTTGATGAACTTGGTTCATTGTAATCTAATTATAATACTAATGCACATCTACATCCCAAATTTGCCTGTCTCCAAGATACAACCACCCCTCACTGACCATGCACTCTATATTTTATTAGCTGTATCTTTAAGAGCAAAGTTAAGAGAATTTTACAACACTCAGTAACAAAGATATGTCACTCAAGCTCCATCTAAACATAAAGAAATAGTATGAGAGTAGGTCAAGAATGGGGAAAAGTTAGGGAAGACTGTTGTAGCTTCAGGAATCAGTGAACAGGCTGAACCTGTCTTCACCCTCAGAGGGACACCTACTGGGTAAGAACTGTACTCTATGTGCACTGAATACTTTTATTGGGTTTAGAGCTTGTCTGTGTATTGCTTTGAACATGATTTTGCAGTCAGGTACAATCATCAGCAATCCTTGAATCTTAATCTGTCATCATTTTATATTAATTGTGTTATCCCATAAACTGTGAGTCCTTCACAGGCGCTGGCAGTTGCTGGCTGTGGATAACTCAGATAAAGTGGGCACTGCCCTTGGTGTGTGACCTTGAACAAGTTAGTTGAACTGCCCTTCGATCCAGCAGCACTGTTCAGTGAAGGGTGCCCATAACAGGACACTGACAAGGGTGTCATTGGGCACAAGGGTCTCCATTTTCCTGGGACAATGACAGACTAATCAAACACTAGGGTCAAGGAAATATCCCCTTTTCACATGGTCTTTATAGACCTGATTTCAGCTCAACTAATACACCTTCCCGCTCGCTTGGGTTGCTAGAAAGCACAAAAGACATCTTAAAACTGAGTTAGCCTGAAGCCAGACTTGACAATACTAAGCAAGAGCTACTGAGTAACTGTTGAGTTAGTTTCATGGCTCCTGCATTGTTTATTTTTGAGGCATATCCTAGAATGGCCTGTTGTCCTGGCAGAGTGCTATAAATCACCAGATTTTGGGCATTTATTCTTCAGGGAAGTATACTGATTTTGTCTGGGGTAGAAGTAATTTTCTTCACAGTGGCTAGTATGGGATATGTTTTGGATTTGTGTTGAACACAGTGCTGATATTATAGAGATGTTTTTGTTACTACTGAGCAGGTGTCCTAGTTAGGACAGTAGAGACCAGTTCATCACTGGATGGGTGTAATCCAAAACTGTGTATTCTATAGCCTTCCCTGCCATTTCCCAGAAACTGGTATCAATGAACCATTTACACCATCTGCACATAGAGCCTGACTCCTCAGGCTATAAACTGGGTGTTAAGAGGCCTGTGAGACAGGAGGGTACTCTTGTCCTCATGCCCACTGAGGAACTCCTCGCCCTGAGGGAGGTACTGGGCATTCCTGCCTGAACTGGAGGATATATAATCTTGGAGTCTTGGGACCTTTTTAACCACTCGTGGGATCCAGAGGAAGACTGCAGATCACTGCTCTCAACCACACTGCAGACCACCAGTCTTGACTGGACTGGAACCACCACTTTTCAACCAGACTGCAACCATCACTCTCGACTGGACTGCAATCACCACTCTTGACCAGGCTGCAATAGCACTCTCACCAACAGGTTTTTCCCCTCTCCTTTTCCTTTGGACTCAGGGGGCCCAAAGAACACCACTCTGTTCATGCCCCAGGGTGCTGGGTTATATATTTGGGTTTTGTGGGTTAAAACCAATTGTTTGTCTGTATAATTGTACTTATTGTATTATTTTATTCAATTGTTATTCTGATTTATAATCTCTCTTTTGAGCTGAGTTCATTTCCCCTGCTGGTTTACCTTTAAATCAGCACAGCAGGACTTACACAGAGCCAAGGCCTTTTCTGCTCTTCATACTGTCATGCTGGTGAGGGGGCTGAGAATGCATGGGAGGCTGGAAAGGGATACAACCAAGACAGGTGACGCAGACTGACCAAAGGGATATTCCAGACCATATAAAATCATGCTCAGTATACAAAGCTGGGGGGAAGAAGGGGAGAATACACTTGGAATTCTGGCATTTGTCTTCCTGAGTAACATGTGATGGGGCCTTGCTCTCCTGGAGATGGCTGAACACCTGCCTGCCCATGGGAAGTGATGTCTTAATTCCTTGTTTTGCTTTGCTTGCATGTGCAGCTTTTGCTTTTCCTATTAACCTGTCTTCATCTCAACCCATGGGTCTTCTAACTTTTACCCTTCTGATTCTCTCCCTGATCCCACTTGGTAGGCAAGTAAGCAAGAAGCTGAGTGGTACTTGGTTGCTGGCTGGAGTCGAACCATGACAGAGTCAAGCTAAATATCTTCAGTACCTGCAGAGCCAGGAAACCAAGCCTGATTCAGAGTGAACTTACTCCTGGAGAGCCATTTGTATGCACCATGCAGAAAAACCTAAACCCATGGAACTAATTATCCTGGTACAATAACTGGTAAGTGTACAACACTGGACTGTGTTCAACACTGTAGCTGAACAATCAATTCTTCCATAATCCACAGGGCTAAGGAATGAACTAAAAAACTCTTGAGTAGCTCTGCAGGAATTACCTTTGATCTGGCCAAGCTTAGTAGTGGCTACATACCAGTTTCATGTGTCAGGGCTGTACATTATTTGCAGTTCATTCCACATGCAGTATTTTCACCTAATACTCAGAATATCCCAAACTTTTCTACCAAACACAAACACAGAATTAGTTCTATGTATAGTATGATCACTGCCATTCATTCTTCCTAGGCAGGTTTTGAGTAAAGAGACTACCTTAAAGACAAGCATTATATATATATATCATCTAGAAGCTGGTACTGTTTGGTTATTCTCAAATGCCAGTTTTTAATCACAGGACAGTATGGATTACATGAAACCAGGTGAAGCTCTCAGTGCTGACTCCCAGAAGAGCAAGGAAAACTATTTTTTATGTTTGTTTTTTTTTAAATAGTGGCCCTACAGTCTAGATGAGAAACACTGGGTAAGTTCCAGCCTACCACCAGGAATTATCACTTCTGATGTTCTAAAACTACTGGACCCTCATCAAGCCCAGTTTAGAGTCTATTCAGAAACAGCTTCAAAGGACTTCTACCAAGAGCTTATTCTTTAAGCAACTTTGAGACCAGAGTTGTGTTGTGCCCTGTAAGACAGGTAAACATCTACAACACATCAGCACTATATGCTTCAAAGATAGGAGCCAGATAATCAGATGAAAAGTGTTTCTTATCAGTAATGAGAAACTCATTTATGATGTCGGAACTCTGCTTGAATAATATTCCAAATATCTGAAGGTATATATAATCTGCAGCTATTTAGTTACAGTAAGTATTTAAAACATATTGGGAAGCTATATGAATACTAGGAATAAATTAGGCAAGAAACCTACTAAGGTTATTTAAGCAATAATAATCCTAACTCTATCATTTAGAACAGTGTCACACAAATCTGACTGTAAGTCAGTAGTAAGACTCATGCCTCAACTGACAGGAAATAAAAGATGCAGCTATGCAAATTAACACCTACTCAGGAAACAGACTACCAACTAACCATGCTCATAAACAGAATCTTCAAGAATGGAATATTTCTACTGATCTAACTGAAGTCAGTGTTGGCATGACTTTAGCACAGATTTTACAATGGCATCCTGGCCTGTATCAGGAACAGTGTGGCCAGCAGGTCTGAGGAAGTGATTCTTCCCCTGTACTCAGCACTGGTGAGGCCACACCTGGAGTACTGTGTCCAGTTCTGGACCCCTCAGCTCAGGAAGGATATTGAGATTCTGGAGCAGCTCCAGAGAAGAGAACAAGGCTGGTGAAGGGACTCGAGCACAAGTCCTATGAGGAGAGGCTGAGGGAGCTGGGGTTGTTCAGCTTGGAGAAGAGGAGGCTCAGGGAAGACCTCATCACTCTCTACGACTCCCTGAAAGGAGGTTGTAGCCAGGTGGGGGTTGGCCTCTTTTCCCAGGCAACTACCAGCAAGACAAGAGGGCATAGTCTCAAGTTGTGCCAGGGGAGGTTTAGGTTAGATATTAGAAAGAATATCTTTACAGAGACGGTGGTCAGGCATTGGAATGGGCTGCCCAGGGAAGTGGTGGATTCTCCGTCCCCGGAGGTTTTTCAAAAGAGACTGGCTGTGGCACTTAGTGCCATGGTCTAGTAAACTCAGCGGTAGCGGATCAAGGGTTGGACTTGATGATCTCGGAGGTCCCTTCCAACCGGCTGATTCTATGATTCTATGACAGCTTTTATGTTGTGTCCTCTTAGAATGAATTTCTTCGGTTTGCTGCATCTGTTTCAGAAATCATTTCAGTTTTGAGAGTTGGGGATGTATAGTCACTACATGTTCTTAATTACAATTTAAAATAATTTTGTGCAAGAAGTCCCAGCCACAAACATATGCAGCTGACTTGCAGTAGATTCTGTCCCAACTCATCTGTTTTGATGCATGTTCTATTAACCTTTTTCCTTCTTATGGTCCAAAATACCATTACAGAATTTTATTGTAACAAATCTGTTCTGCTCTTGTATATTTGGCTCATGAAGCTCTTAGACCTCAATTAATTTCTAGACTGGGAAAAAATAAGGGGGAAATATAGCTACTAATCTTTAACACAGTAGGATATATCTTACTGTCTCAAAGTTCCAACTTACTAGATAATCCTAAAATCCAAATACAGGGAAAAACCAGATTTTGCTAAAAGACTTTATGGCCATAATGGAAAAAATTATACTGCCTGCAGAGAAAGTCTGACAAATCAATAAAGGCTTTGACTCTTTATAAAGATTACACACAGCATGGTAGTACCCTGTTCTTTAGAAAAATATGCCCCATTTTTTTAATAACACATCTGTCTTCATTTGAACATGCTCTTAAGAAGTTCTATAAAAATTACTGCTGTGCCTGGTGAACAACCAGATGAACTTAAAATAGCTGCAACCAGGGAGAGAGGAGATAAAATCAACAATTGCAAATAGGTGTTAGATCTTTTTTCCAATCAGATGAACAGGGTTATGCAGATAATTTTCCTTCTGCTTAAAAGCATATTTATTCAAATATAAATATTATAAATTTGGGGGATAAAAGGAATATTTCTACAAGAGTATCAAAACCTTTTTCTCGTAGTTACTAGCATAGAGTCACTGTGATAGTTTTTACCCTAGGCCTTCCTGGAGACCAGTTTGTAACCAGGAGGGAACTAGGGGAGTGCCCAAGGAAGTATTCCATGCTATTCCTTTACGTAAGCTGAGGTATAAATAAAGGTGACCAGAGGGACCGCACTCTCTTCTTTTCCAGAGAGGTTCAAGAACAGTAGATCCCTACGTGGTCTTGCTTATCTGAAGTTGAGGCCTACAGTGACTGCTGTTGTCTGCCGCTGCGGGAGGGGAGAGTGCTGGGCCACGGTCTGGCTGTCCTGCTTTTCTCAAGGGAAGTGGTGAGATTGTGCCAGTTCTTTATTTTGCTGGTTACCGAGTTTTTAGATTGTGCATACCTGTTTTGTTTCTGACCCTTTTCGTTTGTCCTTTTTTCCCTTCTCCCTTCCCTCTTCCCTTTTAGGAAGCTATTTGGGGTTTCTGGGGTTATATGTATATAGTATTCTCACTGTATATATCTGTTTTATACAAAAAATATATATCTTTTGCTATAGCTTTGGCTGTTTGGTTTTCTTCTTCCCTCTCTGGGAAGCAGGCTCTGTTGTTGAGTTTTGGAGACCAGGCGGCAAGCCAGCTCGAAACTTGCACAGCCACCAAATTTCAACATGAAACAATAACAGAACTCAGAGGTAAGGAACTGTGAGCTAGAAGAGAGTTTGGTTGGTTTTTTCCTCACCTATCTTTTTCTAGTGTTAAAATGTGATTAGAGTACTAGCTCCGACTTCTTTTTGTGCGGCCTACAGCAACATAAGACTCTCTTACTTTAGTTCCCATATAAGTAAAATTTATATTCTCCCTTTTAACTTTTGAACTGCTCTAGATCTGCTCAAACAATACCACAGAGTCATTGTACATATATTGTAACTATTAGAGTAGACAAATCAAGAAGAAACAATTAGCTCCTGCTACTTAGTAAATCACATAAATCCTCACAAAGTTTCTTGCTTTTTTTTTTTGCATTTCAAAAAACATAAGTCATCACACTAGCCTTCAAAGATTTCTGGTACTATTTTCTACATTCTTTCTATCCTAGAAATAAGAACACACATTAATTTGGAAGTTCAATCCTAGCCACACAAGAGCTATACTATGAACTTTTAATATAATTTTGGAATACTTACTTTCCCACAGAGAAAAGTGCTTTACAGGTGTAACTTGGTTTTCTGGTCAAGTTTTCAAGGTCATAAAGTACAATAACACCATCTGATTCACCAGACAACATGCTGAAAAGTGTTAATAAAGCATAAAGTTACAAAATTCATGATCTCAATATGCTCAGTATAACTGAGTGTTCAACAAGAAAATAAATCCATAGTACCAAAACACAATGAAGTACTCATATACGTTTTTACCAACTATAGTATATACTTACTATCTTCCCTCAACAGGCTCAATATCAAGTGTGTTGATACCACTCTCATGTATTCTTTCCACATCTCTATCTTTATTTAATTCCAGACTTAGGACTCTAAAACCAACAAAAACAAAAATAAAATAAAATTAAAAAAAAAAAAGAAAAACAGGGATATGAACAACAAGAACAGAATTATTGAATGTTACTATGCAGCTCTGAACAGCTAAAACTGTAGTTTTGCCCTTTTCAATTTATTTAACTCATCCTTGTAACATTTTTGCAAAACTACACGACATAGGGATGGAAATAAGTCTTGTGAAGTTGGCAGAAAAAAAAAATACTTCAATGTTTGGAAGGTAAGAGAGAAATAAACACGTAAAATAGCAAAACTGCATTTGGGGTCAACATAGGAAACAAAACTAGATGCAATTTGAAAACTTTGGGCAACAGAAGCATTCAGATGCCTTCTATTCACAACAAATATTAGTTACTTTGAAGTTTCATTATGTAACATTCTTTCAAGCTTCATCCTTCTTGGAACTACAGACATCTAGCAGACAAACTCATCTGGTTTATCAAGTTAATCAAGTTTTCCTTTAATGAACCAAAGTTTGTGTGTTACATTTTCTGGAACAAAATAAATAAAAACTAGGCTACCCACATGATGAAGCTTCCAAGACAAACTCTTCTGAACTGCAATTAGTAACTTGTATTTTTAAATATGCTTATATGTTACATGGTCAAAATAAGAGAGATTCTGCTTCCTTAAACCATACTACCTGATATAAAATTTAGCCTTGCAAGATGATCAGAGCTTTGTACAGCACCATTCTGTCAAAAGCACGAACAAGAACAAAGTAATTAAGTAGGTAACTGAAAAGCTGTGAGGTAGAGTGACCCTACTTAAGATCAACTGGTAAAAATCCTGATGTGAGAACCTTAGGCTGTGACAGGCAGGTCCCCAAAGCAGCAAGTTATTTAAGGTCTTTTAACAGACGTGAAATATAATTATGGAAGAATTCACTTAGAATAAGAATTTTGACATATACAAGATATCTAGTTTAAAACCTTTGAGCTTGAGATTGAATTTTAGTGAAGCAAGAAATGCCCCTGCAGAACTGTTTTAAAACATATGACTTTCTAAAAATGCAGCTATAAATAAAATCCACTGAAGACTACAGCTGTTTTTTATGTCAAACATTCTTAACACTGAATGCTACATGAGCACTGGGGGCACAGAAAGGATGTAACCATATTGTCACAATGCTCGCTGAAAGGAGTTTCCTGAATCACAAAAATTCATTTCAATTTAAAACATTCTTTTTACAATGATACAGCCCCCAAAACCATAAATCACAAGCACAAATCCTTACAATGGAGTCCCGTGAGCGACTGAACTGACGCAGGCTTTACTGGATTTGCCTTGAAACACAGCTGCAAAAATGATTCTCATTCTGACGTTGAAGAAATATTATCACCTTATGATCCATGAATATTAATAAGCCTGTCTACGCAGCGACCACTTCCCACAGAAGCTGCTGGGAACCCAATAAAAGCCGCGCATTTGATTCTCCTGCAATCAACCAACAGGCCGGGTTTGGGAAGAGGGCAGACGACCCGATGGGGCGCAGAGCACTACA